AAACTAGCAATTACAAAATTATCATAGTCATTTGAATCTATTTGAGGCAAGTCCCTACATAGAAGAAATATAAGGATCTAATGGGGCTTCTATACTATTTTAAAATCTGACCACCATTTATGTGGATTTATTTTTCCTTTTTGTGCTTGTGGGTATTCTTTTAGAGGATAAGGTGTTAGATATCAACAACCTTGTTTAGGTTTATTTTGTATCTGTACAATTCATAAAATGAAACTTGTTTGGCATATCCAAGCCGGCACTTGTTACTATGCGGGCGTCCACCAAAACCAGGTCCTATAGAAAATATGGAAAATTACAAAATGCACGGGCGTCCACCAAAACCAGGTCCTATAGAAAATATGGAAAATTACAAAATGCACCCTAAAATAAACTATATATGCAACTTACTTCCACCCCAATTTTTTCTCATACCTTTTCCCCCCAAACAACCTTTTCTTGCAAAAACTCCCCATGGTAAAAAGTTCTTAATTTTTGGATGGAAATGCCCTTCCCATACAAACCAAATCAATTCGCGATCCCAAATAGAATAGTGCCGGAGCGTAGTATACTACTGCTGGAGCGAAATGTCAAGAAGCACTGTCAAAGCGCGGTGCTACATTGCCGGAGCAAACTGCCGAAGTGCGTATTTTCAGTGTCGGAGCGCATTCTCAGATTGCCGAAGCGGACTGCTGAAGTGTGCAATATCATAGCCGAAGCGCAGTTCTCAGTATGCTGGAGCGATGCGCGTCTGACAAAGCACTGCCGGAGTGCACATTGTGACTGCCGGAGCGCACATTAGGACTGCCGGAGCACAGTCCTCCATTGCGGGAGCCGAAGGCCGTGTGAAAAGAAACAGGAGAGAGAAGGCCGTGTGAAAAGAAACGAGGGTATTTTAGTCTTATTTTATGTTACTTTTCGGTTGGGGGGTTTTTTTGCGAAGAAAGGTTCTTTGGGGGAAAAAGTGTGAGAAAAAATTAGGGTGGGAGTAAGTTGCGTAGATAGTCCATTTTAAGGTGTATTTTGTAATTTTTCCTAAAAAATAATCCTCTAAAGAAAAATATTTTCTCCAAAAAATATCAGTTCCAGTTTTTAAATTTTATTTATTTTAACAAATTAATAATCTGCATGTTAAAGGTTATATACTCCCTAAAAATTAAGATCAAATTCTATCTAAAAAATAAATTATTAAGGGGCCGCATTTCTAGAAACCGTATCCTTTGTAAAATACCTCAAATGGCATCAACCAGTTAGAATATATCATAAAACAGAGAACTCGAGTCAAAGTGAACATACAAAAAAAGGCACTCAAAACCTATTGATGAGTATCACAGACCTTCCATAGTCAAACAAGCCCTAAAAGCTAAGGATTGCAAGAAGAACTGGAACATTGGTGGTCTAATATCTACAAAAGTCAGATCATTAACCAAACAAGTAGCCAACATCTGATATAAGCTGGATTGAGTCATATAAAAATGCCCACTATAGACCCCTTAAGCAGTCTTATAATGGGATGAAATTTGAAGGGTCCTCAAGACATACAAAGAAAGACATTTAAGAAAAATAGGGCTTTGGAACCTTGGGCAAAACTGAACTTTGAAATCAACAACAAAATAGGAGCCAATCCTACTCCAAAGGGTCAAAATAAGGTGAAATTTGGTGGAATTTTAATCTAAGGTGTCCTAAATTAGATAATTTGGACCCTATTTTCAAGATTTTAAAATCAGTTATCATTCAAGCTGAAATGGAACTATTCAAATGGCCTATGCAAAGCAAGGGGTCCAATTAACAAAGCAACCCATAGTAAATAATCTTAGATTGAGATGGGACATGGTGCGATTTTAATATAAGGTATGCTAATCCTGCCCACAAATTTCAGATCATTTAGAAATCTTTCAACCGCATTTTCGAAGAGGCAATAATCAAAATCAGTGGTTTCAACATAGCCCATTGACACCAGGACCGTCCATGGATCATTTCTCGTAAATCATAAGGTATTTTGAGCTAAAATTTCATGTATAATCTTTGTAAAAAATTTGGGGTGTAAAATCATGTTTCAATGCTCTATAAACCCATATAAATTTTTAAACAAAATCACTACAAGAATTAAGAGCAAATCGAAGAAGAAATTGGGATAAAAAATAGAACTTGCTGCAAATTGACCATTGAGCAATGTTCAATCCAAAACAATATAAATACAAAGAGGCTTTGAATGGGGTTTGAACCATGAAAAGCCTAACTCAATTTTCCACCAATCCAAAAAAGAAATCTAGCTGAAAACCATGCCAAAGTATCAAAATAAGTATGAAAATCAGTTAGTTCATCGAATATGGCAGCGGAAATGATGGTGAGTTCATGAAATTTTGAGTCAATTTATGTACCTAACTTACACTTTTGATGTAAAAAATGTGGCCTAACCATACTTTGCTCTTTTGACCCCATAAATATCCCATAATTTTGCCACAAGGAGGAACTAGTCGAGCAGCTCTTTTGACCCCATAAATATCCCATAATTTTGCCACAAGGAGGAACTAGTCGAGCAGCTCTTTTGACCCCATAAATATCCCATAATTTTGCCACAAGGAGGAACTAGTCGAGCAAGAGGGTTCTTGTCAGTGTTGTTAAATTCACTTCACTTCGAACGAAGCAAAATTTTGCCACAAGGAGGAACTAGTCGAGCAAGAGGGTTCTTGTCAGTGTTGTTAAATTCACTTCACTTCGAACGAAGCACCCGAAGCTTTCGGATTTTCCTAAACCACCGAAATGAAGCGAATATCAAAAGCATTTTGACACGATATTTTCGTCATCCAAAACCAACTCTTTGATCATAGAGTTAGAGCGCTGAGCCCCAAATTGAAGTGTTATGCAAGACATCACCCCCCTTGTGGCCCTATCCCTCGTCACCATGGTCAACAAGTACCAACCTGCCCACCTTTCTTGCCTTTACTGTTCTTTACTTTTATTAAAGGAAAAGGTTTAAACAAGGATGCTATCTTATAATGTAGAACTATAGATGACTCTCAAAAATCCATCAGAAAAGGTAGTTTTAATGTTGAAAGACCCTTTGATTGATCAACTTGACATCGAAATGTATGACTATGAAAAATAAAAAAAAATTAAGTCTCATAAATAGTGCACTTTACAACATATTATCTATACCATCCATTTTCAAGATTTTCATAGGTTTATAGATCTATTTGATTTTAACTGTTCTTGAAACTTAAAATTTATAATTAGATAGAAAAATAGATTTTGAGATAATTCGAAGAGCATTTTACATCACAATTATATACTATGATAAAATTTGAAAGGGCACCTTACCTCTACACCTACGGAGGCGTCCGTATGCCAACTGCACCCTTTATTAAAATATAGATTTATTTCCAACCCACCTTTTAATCATTTGAAAGGATGGTTATATCGGCACGTGATAAAATAAATTTGAGTGGCTTTTTTTCTTTATATTTTATATTTTTTGATTTTTATTTTTTATTTTATAATATATATGTATATATAAATATACATTTCATTTATATTATTTTTTTAAAAAAAGAAGTCCGAAGTCTTCTCCTAAATTAACCGAAACACTGAATTGCTTAATTTTTCTTACCAAACTAAAAAAAGTTCCAAAGCGAATATGGTAATATTGGTTCTTGTGACCTAAGAACGAGATTAAATATTATAAGAATTTATATTTATTACAAGGAGGTCACAAATATTATATTTATCCCTTTTCAAATTGGATAACTTAGGGTGTGAAACAAAATTCGAGAATTTCTTTTTAAATTTTGAACTTTGTTCATGACACACTTACAACCGCCCAATTTGAAATCTAGTGGAAAATTATCTCCCCTTTTTCATAAATTTTCATATATTCATTACCTACCTCCCTCCCTCCTCCGCTACTCTCAAACATCCAATTTTCATAGAAGTCCTCCGCCCATTTTTGGGCCGACAAGATTATATTTTATATACTTTTCCAAGCCTATATACCACGCTCATGTGGGAGCATAGTGTATATTTGTTTCATTTGTCCAAATACTTACCTAGGAGATTTTTTTCTAATTTTGAGAACCATCCAAAATATATAATTATTCTAAGGGTGTGATTTGTATAGAACCAATGGATCTAAACAATCAAAGTAAAAGGCACCTTCAAATGGTATTGAGAAATGTGGTTTCAATACTGAAAATATTTGTGATAGCTTTAAAATATATTTTCATCTTTAATTATAAAATTTAAAGCTTAAAAAATAGTGCAGATCAAGCATATCTATGAAAACTTGAGAAACTTGACAATATTGGAATTTCACGTTCAAAAAATGCATTTTAAGATGCACTATTTTCAAAACTTGAATTTTTTTTTTCTCATATGCATACATCTTGATATCAAGATTATCAATTTGAGGATAATTGAATATCAAAACAACCTTTTCTAGTGAAAGTTTTGAGGTGGGCTCTGATTTGAGTTGTTTAGATCCTCGGCTCTATATAATTCTTTTCCTTATACTAATGCTATTTACACAAGGGCGTACATGAACACTAGTCTCCCGGGTGAGTATAATATTTTTTTAAGGGTGTGTTTCTACCAAATTAGAAGGTTTTAAATTTAAAAAAGGTTAAAATAAGTAGATCAAGAAATATATAAAAATCTTGAAAATAGACTGTCTAGATAATGTGTTGCAAAATGCAGTATTTTCGGGATTTTAATACTTCTTTTTTTTCCATATTCATGTGATGATTGGTTTGAGGGTTTTTTTCAACATTAAAACAACATTTTCGATAGATTTTTCATGCATCTTGATGTCATTTTCGATAGATTTTTTCATGGATCTCGATGTCGAGATGATCGATTAGTGGGTTTTATTTGACATTAAAACAACATTTTTGATAGATTTTTAGGTGCATTTGTGGTTTTACATTTTAAGGTTGCAACCTTATATAAACTTTTCCCTTTTTTTAGTGTCTCTGTTTTTTAGAGTCTGGAAAACCTTATATAAACTTTCCCCTTTTTTTGGTGTGTGTCTGTTTTTTAGAGTCAGGAAAACCTTGCGGCTGGATTCAAACTTTTTGGGGGTCAGAGAGAGACTGTAACCTTTCTCTCTGAGAGAGAGAGTAGAACCTTGCTTTCAAAGAGAGAGAGAGAGAGAGAGAGAGAGGAGAGAGAGATGGAGCAGTTGCAGAGATTGTAGAAAGCCTTAGGGCCTGGTACAATTAGGAACCATGTCTTCTGTGTACATTTTGGAGCCACCAACGAGGGGGAAGGTGGTGATGAACACGACCATGGGACCCCTTGACATAGAGCTTTGGCCTAAAGAAGCTCCCAAAGCCGTGAGGAATTTTGTTCAGCTCTCCTTAGAAGGCTATTACGAGAACACTATCTTCCATCGAATCATTAAATCCTTTATGGTTCAGGGTGGCGACCCAGCTGGTTCTGGCACAGGTGGGTCTCTCTTCTCTGTCTCTCTCTCTCTCTCTCTCTCTCTCTCTCTCTCTCTCTCTCATTGTTCCATGAAAAGTTTGTATCTTTGTATTGATTTTATTGATTTCTACGCCCCATATGAAACTTGTTACTCGTTTCTTGGATTTTGTGAAATATTGTTGAAGCTGTTACTTATCATATTTTCATTGTATGAGCGGTGGGTATTTTGATTTTCATCAATTTCCTATGCCCCAAATGAATAGAACTCGATTTAATTCTTATTAGGGTTTTGGAAATACTTAGTGGACATTTTACTTATCAGACCCTATTGTGCGGGAGCGAGGATGTCTTTTATTTTATTTTTCCCTGTTAAAACTGATTACACATAATTTATGTTGAAAATTGCACTGTTATCTATTTCTTGTGTATGTGAGTTTAAATTTCTGGTTTTGTGGAATAAGTTGATGTGCTCTGTCTTTTTCTTTTTCCTTTATACAGATTTAAAAATATCGGCCTTGCCAAATTACTGTAATTGTCCTGTGCTTTGTTTAATTCCTTTCTACTGCCTACTGCATTTGCTTCTGTTCTTGAGAAGCATCGATACAGCAACATTTTACCCATTCCCATGATTGAAGCGTACTCATTCATGTTATGTTTCTTTATTGATCACTAGCACCATTTTTTTTTTGATAAATGACAAAACATACACAGGCGTAACTGCTAAGGCATGTTTTGATATATAATTAAGGTGACTGTCAAAGCATTAATCCTCTAGACCAGAACCCTCCTTAGCGAAAACAGCTTAACTATCTGTTAAACCATTTAATTAACTTACCTAGATATATGATGATCTGAGGTACATTTGCTGACACCAAATGGTCAATCTCCTGAAATGCATCTGTTAATCTTGTGGGAACCTTCGTCCTTGACCTACTGTTTTTTTATTCAGAGAATCCTGCTAAACTATGCAAGAACTACTATACGTCACGATATTGTATTGCTAACACTTTCGATGAAAGAAAACCTTTAATTCACTAGAGATAAAAGGATTAGCATATGCCCAACCAACTTATGCACCCCCACTGTTAGGGCCTTAGCATGTCAAACCGAATAATCCTGAAGGGACCACATGGCAATTGATTTTGTCTCTTATCCATTGTTGTTAAGATTGCCAAATACTGCCAGCGCCTTAATGTCCTTGTGCACCGAGTGTCAAAATTATGCTTTGTCATACCACACGATGGAGTGCAGTTCCCTCCCAGTAAGGCTTAGATCTAAGACGTCTAATCATATCTGAATTGTTGATCAGCACATACGTTTCAAGCCAAAACTCTCATATGTTGTCTTTTTAGCCTCCATGACAAGACATCTCTCCTTGTAGATTTTAAAATATAAAAAAAATATCATTCCATTTAGTTTAGTTCTTGTTTATTTGTATACAGTATGCTTGTGCCATATATTTTTTGTTAAATTTAACATTAAACAAACGCAAAACAGAGGACATGTTTTGTTAGGAAATTGATCGATACTTGGTCCTGTGAGAGATTGCATTGTTTTAAAGAGATTGTGCTGTCTTAATGAGCTATGTTTGGAGAGTGTAAGGCTTGCTGCATTCTAGTGCAGTCACATGAACTGAAATGTTCAATTTTTTATGGGACAATTGTTTAACTTACCATGGTTCTGTTTGATACGCATGACTAGTGTATAGTTTATGCCCTCTAAAAGCAACATGCGGTAGAAAACTCACAAATTTTTTATTTTTATGCTGAAACATAAGGAAATAACTACTCTTTCCTACTTAGGCGCTTAAAGAAATTTCGTACTCATCTCCAAGATGACCAAAAGTATTTCCTTTGTTATGCATGTCGTTGGGGAATCTATTACTTTTCATCCTTTAATGGACATGTCCCTTTTTTATGGTTTGTATTTTTAATCCACATCTATAGATGAATGCAAATCAGTTTCCTATTGGGCATCTGACTCATCTTTCGAGGATGTAACTTGTGTAAGACACAAAGGAATGGAGAGAAGCACCCAGAAATGAGTAAAACTCCATTACCAAGTCAGAAAAACTGAATCAACTCGACTCTTTCAGGGTGTGCTCAAATTTTTTCTTTCATTTATATGTGTGTGTACATCTATGTGTGTGTGTGCACTCGTGTCTATGCGTTTGCGCATTCTTTGTTCCCATATATCTTTAGGTGATCAAGCTGGTTTCAATGCCCATCCTTGATACATTGGTTTTTTTAAAATTTTTCACACAAAATTCTCTGAAATTCGCGTAGTTATTCATTTATAAATCCACTGTTTGGTTTGGTGAGTCAACTCAGTTTTGTCAGTGACCAAGTCAGTCACCTACTTCGTGTTACAGTGCAAACTAGAAGCATGAGATATGGACTAATATGCGTGCACATTTCCCTTATAAAAATGCTTGACCTTCCTTGCAAATCGAAGATGTCATTTTCCCTTTGTCCTTTGTTTGCCCATAGTTCATGGGTGTCGGGTTTGTCAATCTGTTGAGAGAGTGGAGGCATGTTGCTCTGGGGCAAGTCCTGTCTGGTTCAGCCAACCACTGGAGTCAATGAAGCCCCATGGGAGTTGAAGATATCTTTGTAGATGTAAACGGAAGCACTGTTTTAAAAAACGGTCCGCTTGCACCTAGGCGCTCGCCCTGGTGGCTTGGACAAAAACTCAGCCCCGCCTAAACCCAGGCGGCCTTACACGGTTGTATGTACTTGGGTGGGTGCCTAGGCGGGCGCTTAGGCAGGCGCCCTCCTAGGGCCATGTACCTGGGCGGGCGCCCAAGCGGGCTAGGCAGGATCCCATGGCTGTAAGCCGTTTCTCATTGTTTTAAAAAATACGAGGTGCTCGAGGTTCTGGGCGCCCGCCTAGACACTTGCCTAAGCAGTTCGCTGGGCGCCAGGCAAGCCGCTTAGGGGTCGCTGAGCGTTTTTTGAAACCTTGAACGGAAGAACTCAAAAAGTGCTCAGGTCCTCTTGGTTGTTGGACTCACTTGGGGAAGCAAAACGTTTGCTTACAGATTACGTTTGTGTCCATTATGGTCGGGTCATGCCATCAGTACAGAGGCTGACTGTCTCAATGTCGTCCGATGGGTTGAGGAGGAAGTTCCTTCTCTTTGGCACTTGGAGTGTTTCAACTTTCAAGAAGTTTTTGACATGTTCAAGGTGATGGATATTTTGTTCCAACATGTATTGAGAGGTATCAATGAATATGCCGATTTGCTGACCAGTACTGGGGTGGACAAGGCTTTGCTACTTGCAGAGGATGGATACTTAAGCTCAACTGCTTGTAGTATGGGTTGTCTTTGTTTGATATTTGTTCTTGCAACTTTAACTGATTAATGGATTTGCTTTTTATTTACAACAAAAAAGAGAGGGGCATATTGACTTCTTCTTCCTTTTGATAAAGAAACCCGAACATACTTCATGTAGAGAGGGGATGTTTACTTTAAGCGTAAAGATAAACTAAGCATTCAATGGATGATGACTTTGCATATCTTAACAACTTCCATTCCCATGGTCCTTAGTGATTGAAATCCTCACATTTCTTTCAAACCTAGCAGTGTTCAAGAAGGCGGATTCAGCCGCCTAGGCAGCCGCCACCCAAATACCTGGGTGGCCTGCACATAAAGGGGAGAAGGGGGGAGGAGCCGGGGGACCGCTGGGGAGGGGGTGTTGAAGATGTTATTGGGGATGGGGGGGAGTGTTGGTTACTGGTCCCCTTGATTGAGTGTATAGAACATTTATTTTTATAAAGAACCATTCTTCCACAATTTTCTGTGCATGTTATTTTGGTATGCCATTCAAACTCAAATATAGATAACTTTGAACATTGAAATTGAAGGGCTAAAGCTTCAAATGATTGAAAATTGCCCAAATTCATTCATTATGCCACAATAGTAAGTCTCAAGGACCAATACATGTAAATATGCATTACAAGTCAACTCAAAACTCACAAAAAATCAAAACTCAGACTTAAAACAATGAGACTCACACCATGAAAACAACTTTTATGAGCTCAAATTTGAGATTGACTTCATCATCACTAGCAACCACACGCCAATCTCTACAACCACCACTTGGTGCACCATCATCATCAAACTCATCTCCCTCCTACTCATATTCCTCTTCTTCCCTAGTCTCCTCTGAGTTTGCCTCCTTTTCCTCCTCCTTTGTTATATTCTTCAGCCTCGTTTCCTTCTCATTCCAATGAAATTGATATCTAGTAGCCTGCACAAGGCTCGAGGAGGTTCCAGCCTCCTCATGAACTTGGCTCCATGTCAAGCTCACTCTCTGGTGAATGCTAGTTTATCCCCAACACCTTCCTCAACCAACTACTTGCTTCACCCATATCTTCACCATGATAGGGTCAATTTTATTACGCTCCAAATGGTGCTCCTTCAACTTCTGATTATGTTGAATGGCAACTAGGTTGTTCACTCTCTTCTACACGAGCCTATCTCTTTATATGTACCTAGCTGTTGGATAATGCATGAAGGTATTATATAGTTATAACTTTGAGAAATGAAATTCACAACCAAATGTGTCTCTGTCCAACCACCGCATAAATTCCCCCTACAGAGGAAAGGCTGGTTCCCACATGTGCCCGTGCCCTTCCAAGTTTTGAAAATTTTGAAAATACCCTTTTCAATGAATTTATAGCAGATTTTTTTTAAAATTCTGAACTATTTTGGAAAATCATAAAAACATTTCTAATCATTATCATCATCGTCAAAGGCTTTTTTCCAACTAATTTGGGTCGGTTACAAGAACCTTGGTCCACCAGTTTGCTCTATTATGGGACTTATGCTTAGGACCCTTGCTCCGATGGCTCCTCCAGTTGTCTCCTCTCCCCATACCCACATTTTCAAGCCCCAGCCTTCTAGCTCTGCCTTCTCTGTCCCCAGGCGTCCACCTTCCTCCGCTGCCCCCCTCCCTCCTCCTCCATCCTCTCTTCCTTTTGTCCTACTTCCTTCCACCTTCCTTCCTCTCCCTCCCATA